GAAACCAAAAAGCCACTCTGGCGACATCCTTTTACTGTGTTTGTCTGAGGTAACTAGTCTGCTGTTATTACTGAAATATGTGTATTTTGTAACAGTTTTGTTAGTTTTACTTGCATGAATTGAGGCATTCGGAAAAGTTCAGATGTTTTTTAACTATGTGCGAATGGAAAATGTGTGCGTGTGAACATGTGCGAGTCGCTCCCATATCCATGTGGTGCAAGTCGCGTGCCTCCATTGGAAATTACAAACTTACACCCCAAGCTTATTGACACTGCTTCCAAGGCGTGCCCTCAGCAGCCACATTTTAATAAAACTATTGCGCTTTATACTGAAACTTCATACCAAATCTTTTTAATCGATATTGACAATAGTGTTCAGTCAATTAATATCAATAACGATTTTATCACCCTGCCCTAAATAAAAGGTTGCTTTTTTGTACCATGTGTTGTATTGAGAATCTTGATGACAATATATCGGTCTTTCAGATGAGTTGCTAAACCGAAGTCCTGACTCTCTGTTGTCATTAAAAATCCCATGGAACTTCTAATAAATATTAGGGGTGCAACCCCAATGTCCTGGCCAAATTGTCTCCATCAGCCCTCCATAGGCCGCCCAATCAACCACCATCCACCAAATTGGCTCTATCACTGTCTCTCCATTCCCCTTATATCTGCTGTGTGGTGAGCACACTGGCGCCGTTGTCCTGTGGCTGCCCTCACATCGTCCAAGTGGATGCTGCACACAGGTGGTGGTGGTGTCATCACAACAGTGCCACGCTTATTAAAAATAAAATAAAAGTCAACTCTGTTGTGGTAATTAGAATGCATTAATTTACAGATGTAACTGGTTAGAATGCATATAGTTTCTTAAAAAGCCTTTAAGAGCTTCAAATTTGTTAAAAAAAAAAAAAGAAAAACAAGAAAACCTTGACAATGCAATGTGTTACCTCCTTAGCCCTTTTGGGTTTAAGTAGGAAGGCCTCAGACCACTTTGTAAAAAAGTCTTAACATTAAAACAAATGCATTGTTAGCCATCATTTGTTGGTGTAAGTTTTACCACCAAACCCATGCCCCCTAGTTCCCATGACTCCGGATAAACATTCAAATGTATATTACACATAATTGCTTCAAATTATTCCTGATTTACAAAATTACCATTACTTAGGCGTGTATTCTGAGTTTTTTTCTGACAAGCCTCACAGTGTGTTGAACTGAAATTCAACTATGACCGAACTGACACAATTTCAGTTTACTAGAACTTTTATGTTAAGCTGCTTTAACACAATCTACATTGTAAAAGCACTACAGAAATAAACATGAATTGAAATTGAATTATCTTAATCCTAATCTTTTTTTATCTTAATCTTAAATGTTTTCGGGGTGGTTCAATACGCTGTGGCGACCCTGGATTAATAAGGGGACTAAGCCTACAAGAAAATGAATGAATGAATGAAATGTTTTCGGACACTTCTGATTGATAAGGAAATCTTTAAGCATATGACAGTTAATACAATAGCACTTACACTGTAAAAAATATATATATATTAGTCTGACAGCATATGTTTTAGGTCATTATAACTTATTGAACTAAGTTAATCATGTTCTAACTTAATTTCTTAAGTTTTGCAAGCTATTTTAAGTCAGTTTAACAAAATATAAGTGCAATGGAGTCGTAAGGTTAATTTGAATCAGCTTAAAAATTTAAGGTAACCAGGATTTCGTTTACAGTACCCATATTCAGACATGCCTGGCCATTATAATCTCTTGTTTATTGCATCAAGAGTTTTGTGAACCTGTTGAACTGTTGTGAAATTCTTGAAGAAATTTTTTTTTGGCTTCCTCTTTGACTACAACAACTTTTGCTAGAGCATCATCTTTTTATTCAGGTAGTGCAAAACGTAATGGAAAGTGGCAAATTGTGGTATACAGTATTACAGGATGAACCCAGGTGTGGCATTCACAAACATTTTTACTCACTTTCGATTGGGACCTTTTTTGGCTTTCCTGAGAAAAGTGTTTTATTTATCTACATCTGGAAAGGCCCTCTAGTACTTTACACCCCCCCCCCCCCCAACCCACACACGCACACAAACACACACACACACACACATACATACATAACAAATTACAGCATAATGTACTCTGAAATAAAAGTGTACAAAATATATAGACAAATGGAGAGTACACTCAAAACATTGTTTTACCTTTTCAAACTACATATTTAAAATGAGCTGACGCAACACAGCTTTTTTTGGAGACAGCTTAGTTTTTTATTTAGTAAATAAAACTAAGTGAACTTTTAAAACCTTTTTAACTGATGTGGTGGAGAAGTTTATTTAACTTAGAGTGAGGGAGCTATTAAATATAAATCACCAGAAAAACCAGTTCTACTCCCTAGTTGTGTTGTGGATAAAATATAATTTGACAAAAGAGTCTAAAATAGCTATAAAGTAAATGTAAACACAACCAGGATTTATTATCTACGTCTACATAAACAGATGACTTTCATAAAGTGTATTGCTGTTTTTTCCACTTCAGAGAAATTGCAGTAAGAGCTGATAAGTCATGATGCTTCAATTTGTATTAAACACAACAATCAGCCTTCTACATGTGTTTGCTACCTCAAATTACAAACTTATCTGGCAAATATCCACAATAAACTTGATAAATTAACAAAAATTTCGTCATTTTTAAAATGTTTTTTAATGATACATTTTATTGAAATCAAAATCTTTTGAAACATTATAAATATAATTAATGTCAGTGTTAATTACTTTAATGCCCTCTTGCTGAATTAATGTTGTAATGAAGTTAGCTCAATTTGTGAATATTAATGATTAATAATAACAAGTTATTATTAATTATGAATATTCAGAATTAGCTTATATTTAATTTAACAAAATAAAAATCGCCCGCTTGTCTGAGCAGACTCTAATTGTTTATTATTTAGTAAGGGGATTATAGCCTACTTCTTGTGAAGTAGAATAATTTTAGAAGTTTTAATAAACTTAATAGGCTGGTAGCAAGATCTTTTACCAATAAAGTGACTGTTTCTGGTTTCTGTGAGGCAAGACAAAGACAATCCAACGTGGTTATAAAATTATTTAATGACTTTAATCTAACATATAACAAACAAACATACAATAAACAAAAACAAAGAACAGTGAGGAAAATAGAGAGTTTAGATAAAAGGATGGCAAATCTATTTCTCTCACCACTATTAAGAACCACCATGTATACAAACACCCTAAAAGGGACACTGCATCAAACGCATGAGTAATACTGGTATCTTTGGGTTCCTTTCTCGTGTTGTGTGAGTTTTCTCTGATGTTTGGAAGATAAAGTCTTTGACAAAGTGCGGCGTAGAACGGAGGATACGTGCAGCACAAACTTTAAGCTAAGTTATAATTTGCTGGAAAGTAAAAAACGTGGACTCAGGCATGTCACACGGGTAAAGAAACAGGGTCCTCCCTGGTGTCTGGGACCTTCTGCCAGGATTTGAAGGTGTAGATGGAGTTTTATTATTGATCAAGTCACTCCCAATCTCTTCTGACTGACCAATGGCGTGAGAGTAAAAGTTGCATGGGAAACTTTCTTTGTTCCTCCTCGCTGGTCTGTGCGGTCCAAAGACACATACAGACTTTAACTCATAGGATAAAATTACACCAAGCATACAAGTTATCATATGTCCTAGACCAGGGGTCACCAATCTCGTTCCTGGAGGTCCGGTGCCCTGCAGGGTTTAGCTCCAACTTGCCTCAACACACCTGCCTGGGTGTTTCAAGTATACCTAGCAAGACCTTAATTAGCTTGTTCAGGTGTGTTTGATTAGGGTTGGAGCTAAAATCTGCAGGACACCGGCCCTCCAGGAACAAGTTTGGTAATCCCTGTCCTAGACCATGAGCTGTAGAATTGTGTACAGAGAAGTATGACACCAAACATCACACTTTAAGAAATACATAAAACATAATTCATGCATTCTTAGTTTGTCTAATGCCTTGAACAGAGTATATACAAGTGTAAGAAATAAGAGAAAATGAAAGGAGAGAATACATATGTTACAAATACATTACAGATACTTTGGGGTAAAATCTTGGGTTCTAAATGTCCTTTTCAATATTGGAGATTGTTTGAGTATAGACAAAAAGGGAAAGCAAAGAGAGAGATTGGTCACACTTTATTTTGATGGTCTGTTTGTTGAATTTAAGTTACATTGCATCTACATGCCAACTCATTCTTATTAGATTATAAGTAGACTGTAAGGTTGGGGTTAGTGTAAGTTGACATGTACTTGCAAAGTCTCTTATAGTCAGTTAAATGTCTGTTGAAGGAGCATATCAACATATATTAAGGAGCAGTATCAACATATATTAAGCATCATCATATTAAGTATCAACATATATTATTAATTATAAATATTATATATAATTCAAATGAATTAAAAAAAAAAATGTTACCAAGGGTTTTTCCTCCTTTTTTCTTCTTGTCTGCAATGTTCCTTTGAAAACCAAATAGAGAGGGCCAAAGCAATCTGCTACTGTAAGTGTCCTGATAGATAAAAGATGTTACCCAGGCAGACACCGGGTGTCAAAAATTGTCATGTTGAACAAACCCAGACCCTTTTAGGAGTAACAATGGAGTTTACCTCCAGACTGTATGTTACAAATTTATTTTATTATCATTATTATTATTATTATTATTATTATTATTATTATTATTATTATTATTATTATTAATTCAATCAATTGAATTCATTTCTTTGTTTAATTTGAATAATACCAACCCAAAACTATTGATTGGTAGCTTACAGTATATCAAACATCTGTATTTAAGGTTTCAAATGTAACTTTGTGGCACTAATTAGTTTAAAGGAAAAGGTCAAGAGTTGCTGACTCCAAACATTTGAATGCAAGGGTGTATAAATATCTGCTTTATTGTATTGATTTAAAACACATTTTAATGGCAGAATTGATTTGAAATGTTGTTGTGTGCACTACATAGGGGTGGAATGCTGTGTCGGATCTGGAAAGCCATTCAACAACATCGCAACAAAGGACTTCGAAAGGTCAAAAACGACGAGGGAAATTCAGAAGGATGAAGTCAACAGGAAGTGGTTGAAAATGAACACCTGAGCCAGCAAAATCCACCTTCCTAAAACGAGAGAGCATCCCCACATCATTTCATCATGCTGTGCCCTGGTTAACCTGTTTATTTGTCTTTCAGCTATGACCTAATGTTTATGTGTTATTTTAGTATAAGTTTAAACTCTCTTCAGGATTTCCATCTTATTTCCATGCAGTTTTAATAGAAAAACCAAAAGGGATGCAAAACGGCTCTACCCAGGAAAGACCGTTCTTTCCGCTTTGTACACTTCCGCGCTGAGAGGATTGGCCTTTTCCAAATGACCTGGGAATGGTGTTACCTGCTTCACGTGGGACTTCAGATCATGCCATTTTAAAATGACAGAAAACATTTTTAGGTTTCTGTTTACATTAGCATTACAAGTCTGGAAAATGTGTATTATAAAAGATTTTGGAGGGACTGTCTTGACAAAATGATTACAGACCTCTTGGACCAGGGCTGTAGAGCCTCTTCAAATAAGTTTGAATGTAATTTGCTAGTGCAGTACATAGCTAAATAACACGTGCCTTAACGTTCATCTGTAACTTGAGTAGCTCTGGTGCATTTTTTTCTATAAATGTGTGCAAGACCTGTCTTGCAAAAAGTAAACCAAGCGGTTCACCAAAACATAAGATCAGGCCACTTTTCACAAACGTGTATCTGCTTTCTTTTTAAGGAAGCAGCCTTTTGAATGTGACATTTTTTTCTGACGTATCAAGTTTGAACTGTGATACAATGAATCAACCAGCCAACCAATAAGTGATCGGTACAGATAACTGTCTGTTCAACTTTTCCATGATTTCTCACCTGCCGTGTTTGAATGTTGATGCAAGAAATTTGATGCGTTTTGGTGGAGTGGTTGCACTTTGAGGTGCATTGTTTTGTCTAAGCTATTTCAATTATTTCCAAACTGATGTGTCCATGATGAACATGACTTAACGTAGTAGTAAACCGGATATTCAGGCTGTGGCTGAAACAAAATGCCAACTTTCGTTAGCTGGATTGCAAAACACTTCAGGCGAAGAAAGTGTGAATGTCTTTACAGCCATGAGGTAGCGTCATGGCTAATAGCAACTAATAGCTTTTCCGATGAATTGTCGCATCATTTGGTTTATAAAAAAGAAAGTCATTCGGCCAGCTCCAGATATTTAGCGTAGTGGATGCCATGAAAAATGTTGCAGTTAATGGGAACACAACGAAATGACGTGCATTTACATTCAGTACATGCAATCAATTTATTTTTAAAAGACTATCAAATGTTTTTAAGGACCTAAATTGTTGTAGCATTTGCTATCGTGTATCATGTAGTCTTTAGGCATTTGTGTTGTTTTGTCATTGAGCTTTTTTCTTTGCATTGCAATGTTTTTTATTTTAATATAGATATGATGTCAACTGAAGGTCAGTCATACACATTTTATGTGTTTGCAAATGTATTAAAGGGATAGTTTAACTCAAATAGTAAATTCTGTCATCATTTACTCACTTTTTATTTGTTTTCAACCTTCATAAGTTTTTTTCTTCTGTTAAACACAAAAGAATGTACTTTTAAGAAAGCTGTAATCATTTACTTACATAATATTTCTTTTTCCTACTATGGAAGTCAATGATTGTTATAAAAGAAAGAAACTCCTGACCGTTTGGAACCACTTAAGTAGTGTTTCTCAACCACCAGCTCTGCACATTTTCCATGTCTCCTTAACCAAACACACCTGATTCAGATCATCAGCACAATAGCTGAGACTGAAAGACCTGTAATGATTGTGACAGACAAAGGAGACATCCAAAACACGCAGTAATGGTGGTCCTCCAGGACCGTGATTGAGAAGCACTGCAATTGAGTGTGAGTAAATAGTAAGTCAATTTTTGTTTTTGTGTGAACTATCCCTTTAAGAGTTAATTGCTTTTGAAAACATCAGGTGTTGGACAATAGATCATGTTTCGATTCACAATCAAAACATTAGATGATAAAGATAAAGTTGGCAGCACAACCATTCATTAGTAGTCAATGTCAACAAAAAAATGTGGTTCATTGCATCCTGGTTCGGTTATTTATTTAGTTTAGTTCCCCATACAATCACAGACCAGCAAATAAACAATCATGTCCACAACCTTTTTAAAATTGTATCTTATACAAAATTAAAGTTGAGGTCCATTACTGTGCTTTTGTACAGTAGTGCAGTTTTTGTAGATGTGCAAGCTTTGCTATCTGAATCCAAGTTTCCCCTAAACAAGCCTCTGAAAAGATTGGAACTGTGTGGTTTGACTTTAACATGAACACAGTTTGGACCAAAGGCGATTAAAGAAATCCAAACAAGACACAAGATGCGACAATAAAAAAATACAGTAAACCAACATGCCTGTTTATTTGTCATGTTTTGTCAAAGTGGAATGTTGGCCATTTCAGTTCAATTCAACCATCAGAAACCCATCTCCGTACAGCAGACTTTTATTTGTGTGGAAGAATTGTCCTGGTGTTGTTTGATGTTACATTTTTATAAGCTTATCAGTAGATTTAAACTGATAAAAAAAATACCAGCACATGTTGAAGGTCATATCGACAGCATATCTGCAGACTTGATTTTCTCTTTGATTTGTTTAACATCTAAAGTTAAGAACATCATGGATCATTGCTCCTTAGTACTCAGCAGTACAAATGATGAAAAGCCCAGCTGAGTGCATGTGGAGAAAGATGAAACGTCATGCTTTTAATATGAAACTAAGGCATGGCTAGGCAGAATTTCTTTTTTTTTTTATATTACAGCAACCTAAATAACACTTATACTCTCTTTGCAACTGTATAGAGACTCACAATCCCCAGTAGGATTATTCTCTCTAAGAGCAAATGCAATGAGTCTTTTCTGAAAGGATAAATAATATCAGAAAGGCAATCAGCTCATCTAATCAGCCATGTTGTACTGACATGTTGGCAGACAGGCTCAACCACAACTTAAGAAATAAAACAATTTCTAAATTAAGGTTAAAATCTTGGAAGAGATTGTACAGATTATGAAAACATCAACCTGCAGTATTGACATTATTCTCACATCATTCTTCAAAATGGTGTTTGAATGATTTGGAAAGAGATCTCCTAAAAATGATACATGCTCAACTTCTTTCAGGGACTTTTTCAAACTCAGTTTGTAAATCCCTCTTGAAAAAGAGCAACCTGGATATCATCTTATTGAGCAACTACAGGCTGGTTTCAAATATAACTTTTATTGGCAAAAGTATTGAAAAAGTTACGTTAACAACTTGTTGCATTTGACAGCATCAATCACAACATACTTTTTGATGGACTGGAAAACTGGGATGGTCCTCAAATGGTTCAGATCTTACTTTGAAGGAAGAGGTTACTATGTCAGAATAGGTGACTGTGGCAGGGAGGCCATGTCTGGGCTGCAAACAACAGAGAAAAGCAGATTGGGAGATCGGCTGCTGAAAGAGTGGGTCGATCAAAGCTGGAGAGCCTGAAGAGCTCATCCAGGCCATAGGGATGCTTGAAAAGCGAGACGGTGGTCCAGAATGAGAGATAGATGTGCCTAGAGAGTACGACTGCCACAAGTGCTCCCTTATTTTGAAAATTAAATGAAAACTGTTTGTACCTTTATAACCGACCCTGCCTTCTTCTCCTGGGTTTCAGCACCAGTGTAGTAAAGTTAGTTTTGGATGTAGGACAGGGTTTTCGCGGGGTCTTAAAAAGTCTAAAATTAAAAAATCTAAATTTAAGGCCTTAAAAAATTAATAAAAAAATAATAAAATTCACTGTACTAGGTCTTAAATATTTTGCACAGGTCTTATTTTTCCGATGTCCATGTAACGCTACATCTAATGCTCATTTAATATGTTTTCGGTGTGTTGTAGTTCTTTTTCTCTTTGGGCGCACACGTCATGATTTCGGCTGGCGGAGCTCACAAAATGTTTTGAGACTCGAGTGAACAGTTCCTGCGGCGCCTTGTTTCATTTGTTGAATAGGAAGAGATTTTGTCTAAAACAGACTGTACAGACATCTTAACGATCCGTCCATGCGTGATCATAGGGAGAACCAGATTAACAATAATTCTTGGCTAGAAATTGCAACAGCAGTGGGAAAGGAGGAAAGTTTTTGGAAAAGTTTGGAGAAACCTGAGGGATAAGTTTGTTAAAAAAAAAGAGACCATGCAAAAGTGGAGACCCAGGTGGTTTTAATATTACAGAATATATTTTTCCATCATTCATAGGTTTTACACTGATGTATCGGCCTATATTACAATTTTGAATTTAAAACAATTTACAAGTTGCAAACTAAAATTATAGTAACAAATTACGTATTTGATACAGCTGATGTCAAAATTATTAGCCCCTCTTTGAAATATTATTATTTTTTCCTAAATGATGTTTAAAAGAGCAAGGAAATTTTCCCAGTATGTCTGATAAATTTTCTGGAGAAAGTCTTATTTGTTTTTATTTGGGCTTGAATAAAAGCAGTTTTTAATTTAAAAAAAAAAAAAAAAAAAAAAACTTTAAGGTCAATATTATTAGCCCCCTTAAGCAATATATTTTTTACAATAGTCTACAGAACAAACCATCATTATACAATAACTTGCCTAATTGCCCTAACCTGCCTAGTTACCCTAATTAACCTAGTTAAGCCTTTAAATGTCACTTTAAGCTGTATAGAAGTGTCTTAAAGAATATCTAGTAAAATATAATTTGCTGTCATCATGGCAAAGATAGTTTTATTTCAAAAAGATCAGTTTTATTTTTAGTGAGTGTACTTTTTTGCTTTTATTCTTGCCGTAAATAAAAAAAAATTATAATTGTAGAGCAACTTAAGTTCTGTTGCCATTTAATATTTAACTTTAATAGGTAGAACGGTCCAAAATATGATCAAAAGCAAGTGATGCATCATTTAGATTAAATAAAATTTGATTTAAAAATATCTTTAATGGTTATAAAAATCTATATAATAAATTATAAAAACGATAAAAAATAATTAGTTTAAAAATCTTCAATGATATTAATGATATGACCCATTTCCTGAAACCTCCACTTCTCTGTTTATCCGTCTGATTTTTACTGTCTGTTTCTTTTAACCGCCCCCTTTTTTTTACAAGAATATCTCAGTGATGAACGTGTCAAGTATGAAAGCCTCATCAGTTTCGTGAGGTGCGCGATGCGCCGCCAGGCGAAAGTATAAATCAGCCTTAAGATGTTTGTTTGTTTGTTTTTTCTGTAGTTCAATGGTGCATCTAACCTGTATGTAGTACTGTTCAATATGAATACATTTATTTTACCACTAATTTTGTGATTTTTTTTTTGTAGTTTCTCTTTGTGTGTGCGTGTTTTTGATATTGCGATATAAGTCTTAAATTTAAAACTTAATGGTCTTAAAAAGGTCTTAAAAAGTCTTAAATTTTACACTTTTCAGCCGCCGGTCTCCCAACCTGCTTTTTTTCTGTTGTGGGCAGCCCGGACAGGCCCTCCCCTCCACAGTGACCACATGTCATTGACTTCCAGTGAAGTCATTGCATTTGGGAATGGAGATGAGGTTCTCAAGGTAAATGAGTACCTTGACTCAGGATCATGAGTTTTAGTTGTCACGTCAAAGCAGTAACTAAATCAGCATGCTATCATCTCAAAAACATTGCAAGAATTTGATACTTCGTTTCCAGTGAAGACTTAGAGAATCTTGTTCATGCTTTTATGACCAGCAGGATAGATTACTGTAATGAACTCCTCACTAGCCATCCCAAAAAACAGTGAGACGATTGCAGTTCATCTTGAATGCTGCTGCCAGGATTCTTACCAGAACCCAAAAAAATTGTATTCATGTTTATGTAAATCGCTATTGAGTATGAAATGTGCTATATAAACACATTTGCTTTGCCTTGCCAAATTTATGTTAACAGCGTATTAATTATGCGTGAAACGTGAGCAACATACTAATTAATCATGCTAAAAGCAGGCTAGCAGCATGTTAATTCATGCTAGAAAATATGCTAATAATATACTAATATACTAAACATGTTAGCAACCTTCTAAAACATGTTAGTAATATGTTTCTCTATAAAGTTTGTGCTTTTTTTTTTTTTTTTTTTTTTAGGTTTTACCCGGGTTTTACTTAGAACTCAGTCATGTTTAAATCTTTAGTCCTGGCTTTGTCAAGTCAATGTTAAGAATTGTTTTTAAATTTAACTGACCTGTGTTATCCGTTTGTGTATGAGCTCATATTTGTTTCTCAGCTATTCAAAACATGTGGTAGTAGTGTAGGGGGATTTTTACATACTGAGGTTTTCAGTAGAAGTCCTTGTCTGTCAATTAGACACTCATAAGGGAATAAAAACAACAGCTCAAGCACAGTAACAAACATAACAACATCCGTACTGCGGAAATGGTGCATAATGACGTGTTTTGATGTATGCACAGATAAAACAGTCTGTATGAAGTAGTTTTGAAGGGGTAAATATGTCGCTATCTTTATCAAGCAGGGATCATGCGAGTTCCTTGAAGCAAGATTGTACATAAAAGCTCCAATTATATGGGCTGTTACATTCGTAAAGACTGTAGCTGGAAAGTTTTTAGTTTGTTTCTGTTTGCTATGACTAAAAATATAAAGAGTTTCGATGCAAAAGACACATGCCTTCTAAAATTAGCATTTTTCACAGTTTCCTACAGTGTGTGTTCATTAATTTCATATTTATGGCAAAGAATATGTTATTTTTAGTCTTTAACATGAATTAAATGAACATAGGAGGCTGAAAAAAATAACTCTAGAAGAACATTTTCAGAGCAACGCTTCATATACAGTGCATCCAGAAAGTGTTCATAGCGCTTCACTTTTTCCACATTTTTTTGTGTTACAGCCTTATTGCAAAATTAATTAAATTAATTAAATTCCTTAAAATTCTACATACAATAGCCCATAATGACAATGTGAAAAAAAGGTTTTTGAAATTGTTGCAAATTTATTAAAAATAAAAAACCTGAAAAATCACATGTACAGTACATCAGTATTGGTGCATCACAATGGTGCAGTTACAGTTGTCTGGCCGGAATGAAAGTTACATGATCATTACCCTGCAGGCAGTATTTTGCTCATAGGGCTGCGAGACAATAAATAAGAAGAGCAGAGCTGCTGCAAAATAATGAATAAAAAGAGTGAGGCTGTGGTCCAAAAAATAAATAAATGAAAAAAGTGCGACTGCTGAGAGTGCAAGCAGCTAGAAACACCAGCCCAACTCTCCCGGTCCTCCCGATTGGCCAATTCGGGCCTGACCAAAATATCAATGAAGTGGCTTCAAAACAACTCTGTAAATGTCCTTGAGTGGCCCAGCCAGAGCCCAGACCCAAATCCTTTTGAACATCTCTGGAGA